CTCCAAACCCAGACTCGTCCATCAGATTGCCAGATGGAAAAGCGTGATTCATCACTCCAGAGAACGCGTCTCCACTGCTCTAGAGGCCAGTGGCGGTGTGCTTTACACCATTGCATCCAACGCTTTGCATTGCACTTGGTGATGTGTGGCTTGGCTGCAGCTGCTCGGCCATGGAAACCCATTCCATGAAGCTATTTGCGTACTGTACTTGGGCTAAAAATAAAATTCTAAAAATAATAATAAATTGCTCTACTTTGATAGGAAAATTGCAGACAAGATAAAACTTTTTTTCAACATCTGACCAAAAATGACAGGAAATTAGGATTTTGAAGAAAAAAATTCTAAAAATGCTCTAATTGGAAAGAGAGAGAGGGAGAGAGACATTGAGCTGTGTGTTGTACTAAAATGTCTGGACACTCTATAGTTTCAATCAATTGCAATGAAAATAAACCTCAAGCAAACACACCTTGAAAAACAGCAGCTGTTTCAAATCAAAAGCATTGCTCAAAAAAAAAATTTTGCCCAAAAATTTTCGTCAACATTTTTCACCATCTGACCACATGAGATCTGAAACTATGATTCTGCCAAAAACAATTAAAAACATTTTTCTTAAATAATTCTCAAAATGCTCTAATTTGAGAAGAAACATGCAGAAAACATAAAATCTTAATTTTCTTTTTAAAAAATTTTCAGGAAAACTTTTCACTTTTGGTCAATGTAACATGCAAAATTAGGATTTTGTTGAAAAATTTCAAAAAAATGTTTTTGTAATGTAATTTGATGAGAAACATTTTTGCATGTTTGGAAAAAATAATTTTCCAGAATTTTATCTTTTCTGCATGTTTGTCATCAAAATATAGCATTTTTGAAAATTAAAAACTTTTCTTTTTAAATATTTTTGGTCAGATGTTGAAAAACTTTGATGAAAATTTGTATAAAATGTCTTTTTTGTATGAAGCCACTAAAGGGACATGTGGAAAAAAAAAAAAAAGAGGAACGTATCTCATGCGCACTATATACTTTTTCGTGCTCATGAGATACTTTCTCGAGATACTTTCTCGTGCGCACTAGAGCACGAGAAAGTATATTTAAGACATTTTGCCATGCCTTGTTGCTTGAAGACCAAGCAACCTCCAGGTGATCTCAAGTGACCTCAAAGTGACCTCCAAGTGACCTCAAAGTGACCTCAAAGTGAAGACCAAGCAACTTCCAGGTGATCACAAGTGGCCTCCAAGTGACCTCAAAGTGAAGTCCAAGCAACCTCCAGGTGATCTCAAGTGACCTCAAAGTGACCTCAAAGTGACCTCAAAGTGAAGACCAAGCAACTTCCAGGTGATCACAAGTGGCCTCCAAGTGACCTCAAAGTGAAGGCCAAGCAACCTCCAGGTGATCTCAAGTGACCTCAAAGTGACCTCAAAGTGACCTCAAAGTGACCTCAAAGTGAAGACCAAGCAACTTCCAGGTGATCACAAGTGGCCTCCAAGTGACCTCAAAGTGATGTCTGTGGCCTCTTTTGAAAAATTTTTTTTTTTTTAGAAATTTTTTTTTTTGGAACTTTTTTTTTTTTTAAATTTTTTTTTTTTATTTTTTTTTTAGATTTTTTTTTTTTTATTTTTTTTTTTAAATTTTTTTTTTAAATTTTTTTTTGGAATGTTTTTTGTAGAACTTTTTTTTTTTTTAAAATTTTTTTTTGAATTTTTTTTTTAAATTTTTTTTGGGATGTTTTTTTTAGAACTTTTTTTTTTTTTAGAATTTTTTTTAGAATTTTTTTTTTAAATTTTTTTTAGGAATGTTTTTTGTAGAACTTTTTTTTTTTTTTAGAATTT